GTTACATTTTCATCTCCATTACATGGCGCCGTTTGATGACATCTTCACATTTGCAATAGAAATTGAGTTACTTTTAAAGACCTTATATAATTTTTTGCATGATTTATTTTTGCTTGGTTTTATCCAAGTTTACATGCTTATTTTTGTTACCAACCTGGTGTGCTTAAGTATCATTAAAGCAGATGCTCATAATCAATTTTGTATGAAATACATCATTTCGGTTATCAAAACGGATTAACTCACGGAAACTTACATAAGCTAATCAATCATAGTTGGAAGGAGTTTTGCTGAGGAAGAGAAGTCGGAGTCAACGAGAATCTACATGCTCAGGCACACAAAATAGGGCTCAAACATGAGAACTTGAAGCCACTTAATCTTATCTAAGGAATGAAGATTGGATTTTTAACAAGAACATTAAGAGAAAGCCTCGAGATTTCATTAAATTTCACTTAGCTTTGTCTAACAAAAGACTTTCTCATCTCAGCTGGACTGTAAAGTCGACGGCGTCTCAGTACCAACAGCAACTCGACGAAACTCAAAACTGTGTCGCCATAACATTTTTATCTAGTTTTCTGGTACCGAGAGCTTGAAGATAGGATGCAACTTTCCAGATAAACCGAGATCCTCTAATTTCAAATTCTCGAAACCGTTAGTCTGAAGAAGTCTGGCCTCGGAACTTTGTGACGGAGTGTCAAAAGATTGCTGAGGAAGTCGGCCTTTCGACCCGAAAAAACTCGGGTTCTTATTCAAGTTATAGCGACCTTTTTGCAGCATACTTGTAGAGGATATCGCTCAGAAATACTCAAAGAGATTAGTCTCAAATACTATCAGACCTCGACATTTTCATGCCACAAGCCTGGAGAGCCAAAACGGAGGTGAAGCTGACCTTGGACAACCGAGGGTTCATGGGTCACAACTTTTTTGGACACATGATGTTTTTTGTTCATATCCGTCACACAAGTCACTGTATGTGCTAACATTTAAATATTTTCTGCAACCGTAGATAAAGTCTAAGTAAATTGTCAGTGCCAGTTTTAAATAATGTACATGAACACCAGTCTGGCTTCCTATATTGCCAGAGTGACCCGAGCTAGAGACCTTACCGGTTTTCGTAGAAACATGCACTTGATGTCTCCTGCCAGTTTGAGGCCGCCTGCACCGTCTCGTCTACTCGGAAGTTGGATGCCGTCTTTGTTCTGCGTTAACAGACTCCGAGAGACCTCCATAAGCCCGGCAATTTCGAGGGTGGCACGTGAGCACTCTTCATCTCCAGGTGCCGTTTCTACGCGGATGTGCTGTCGTGCCTCTAAAGTGCCTAAACTGACAGCGAACACACCCCTTTGTACAAAGCGCGATTCCGTTTCCTTCGCGTTTGAGGTGTTGGAGACAACAAAAATCCGTAGCTCAAGTTCACTGGCATCACCTCGACCCATGCCTATAAAACAGAGCGTAAACAGAATTATCTGTTAGTAAAATTATAATCTATTAAATCTGGTCTTTTGGGATAATAAAGAATGTTTTTACTTTCCTTATAATAAGAAAAAATTGGCTACATTTTTGACCAAATAAATTCACAAATTAGATTAAAAATGCCAATAAAAAGACGAGACTACTATTATACTACATAAGTAGCAGCCATTTTGTTAGCTTCAGTTACCCATTGAAGCCATCTGTAGAGCCCAAAACTTTAACCCAATCAGAGGTATAACATAGTCTTTGCTTGCGGAGGCATTCCCGATATATTGTGAAAATTCCCACTTTACTAAATTTTTCATTCCTCTGGTTGGCTTTGTAGCAATAAAATGCCACGAAATATCCAAATTAAAGGTCTATAAAGTTTAGCATAATATGAATTTTCCGGAAAGACCTAAGAGTATTCTTTAATCTTTATCCTCACTGCTTTGAGTAAAAGCGTTTTTACTGTTTTTAAGCCACAAAATCTCCAGCTTACTTTGAATTCCATGGATTGTGATGGATCGTAGAAGCAAAGAGACAACTGGAACGCGAAGTGTAGGATTATTTAGCAGTTCTTCGAAGTATCCAACATAGCGACTCTGTTTGTAGGCATAAAGAGGGTGGAATCACTTTAAAAGCTTCTTAAAAAGGCCATGTCTGCACACTGAGATGAGGAAAAAGGGTAATATACTGAGTTAAATATGTCGGAAGAGTTTTACAAATGCTTGTCTTGCTTCTTATCATTACATCACACCTTTCTTGACAATTACTCAAAACGAAAATATAGAATTTATGTCAGATATTACAATTGCGATGTTATTTCACCACTGCATCATCCAGGTCCGGATCACTTGTCTATTAAAAAAAATTCATTATGATACCCCCGTTGAGAAATTTAGGGACTATGATAACAATAATTTAAATATATTTGCTGATAACACCGAATCATGCTCAGTTTTACTGGATAGCATGGCCTACTTTTATTATCAACTATCATTGGTTATCACGGTCAAACAAATTAGATGGAAGTGAGTCTATCTCTCTCACGAAGGTTACATAAGTCTCTTGACTAAAAAGAAATAAGAGGAAAAGGTACAACCTGTTGCTCATGAATCCGATTTAGGCCCCAAAGAGATCAAATCTTTATCTAAAATACACCGGCATTTAGAGTAAAAAGTCATGTGAGGAATACAGTCCCAAAAACTTGGATGGAAATGATTAAAGTTTTGTAATATTATTGTGGTCAAGCTTAGATCTACTGTAGCCATTAGTCTCTAACAGATTTGCCAATGCTTGTGAGAATGTAAAATCTCTTGAAAACATTCACTTGCAGTGACGAATATGGCCTCGAGTCGTATTCGGACAACTTTTCTCTCATCAGATGATGTTTATTATGGGCAAGAAATGAGGCTTCATAGTATGAAAAGTTTACATTTAAACCCATAATGACGAATTTGCCGCTGTCACATGCCAATAATCATATGGAAGAGATTCAACCTTGCGACTTCGTCAGATACTCAACCAATAGCTTATAAAGGCAATAAAACAGTCCCCGAGTTAGTTGTAGATGATGAAAAACACTTACAGTCTAGCGATGCGCATAGACCCAATTTATAAAATGGAATAATATATAATGAGTAAAGTCGAAAATAGTGTATACTCTATAAACTCTGTGTTCTCAAAGCGTATTCAGCAAATCTTTATTATTAAAATTAATTCTATCATAGAGGTTGAATTAATAATATATTTCATCATATAAAAAAACTTGCAGAAATTATGCCTGACAGTACATAAGATGATTAAGGCGAAAGGTAGCTATACTATGATTTTAAATATTTTAACTGTCAGTTAATACAAACAAACTTTTGTTGACATACATTAGTTAACTTACATAATTTTACTTAGATGTTAGTGAAACATTATTAAATGCGAAAAAAATTATATTAGTTTTTTATGAATAATGAAATAAACACTACCATTTATCTTGGACTAAGACTTTTAGAACCTACTATATAGTAATCATAAATAATAATAATATAATATTTATATATTAATATAATGATATATAGTCATAAAAAACAATATATAATAATAATGCATGTAAGGATTATACACCAATATATAAAACTCATATATTCAATCGTATAATCATATATGATTTAATACGCATAAACGATTTATTGCATATGATCATTCTCAAAAGCAATACAAATTCTCTTTTTATTTTGTATTTGAATGACCAATTTTGCGACTTATTTGTAGTTTTACGTTAAAGCTTGATCCAGCGGTAGGATTGGGTGTAATTCTGCAGCATGTAGAAGATGAGTTAATAAAAATTTAATGAAATTTGTGGCTTAAATAATAATAATAAAATCTGGAGATCACGGCTTCGCAACTATTACCAATCCTGAAGCCAAAAATAGGTAGATTTTGGCAGTTTAAACGAGAGCAAGTAGAGAATTATTATGATCTCGATCAAGTTTAATAAAAACTCATTAGCCTCCTAGGCGGATTCTGGAATGTATAAATGCATGAGTAAGCACAATCTTGTATTCATTTTTGCTGCAGGCAGGTGTGCGCTGTGCTTTGTACATTTGGGCATATCTGCTTATCAATAAATGCATATAAATTGATCTTTCTGTCAATTACCTGAAGCACCAGCAGATCTGGCCCAACATGTTCAGGTTTGGACACTTGACCCGCTAACGAAGGAGTAAATGCTAACCTGATTTGTCTCTATGCAAGTAGCAAGCGATGGATTTCCTACGAGGTGTCAGGCCGACATAGATTTAGTCACCGACATGATTTGCCAATCGGCCTGATTTTAAGCTTGCTGCTGCATGGACCGTACATACTGAAGAAGTACAGAAGACCACTTTGGTGAGGATATAGATTCTAATTTAATGAGAATATCATAAAACCTACATATTCAACAACATTTGGAAGTCTGTATGTATACATTTTATTATTGCAGAAACCCTTAGTTAATTTTCCTCTTGCATAGAAGCACAATATTAGTTACAAATCTATAGTTGTTTCCTCAGTTCTCCTGGAGCTACAAAAGAACAGTTTTGTCAGGTTTGACCAAATGTGGAAAAAATTATATTAGTTTATTTTGAATAATAAAATAAACTCAACCATTTATCTTGGACTAAGACTTTTGGACCCTACTATATAGTAATCATAAATAATAATAATATAATATGTATATATTAATATAATGATATATAATAATAAAAAACAATATATAACAATAATAATGCATGTAAAGATTATACACTAATATATAAAAATCATATAGCTAATCTTATAATCATATATGATAAAATAAGCATAAACTATTTATTGCGAGTTGGCCACAAGGCGATTGCGACTTAAAAGAATAGCCCGGCCAAGATGAGATTGTAAATGAGGAGAACGGGCATTTTAAATTACACTCAAAAACGTTGGATATTTTCAGAATATGCATCAAAGCTATTAGAAATGCTTAAATAAGAACCTAATCAGTTCAGGTCGCTTGGGCTAATTTAAGTACCAATAAAAGGTGATTGGTTTCAGCACAATTGATATATTAAAACTATACGAAATGCGTTCACCATATTTCGTTAAGCTGACGTCAGCTTGAAGATGAATTTGCTCACAATTAGCTGAGTAGACCTTGCGTTTCCATTGAATTACACGTAGCCTAGCTTGCCAAAAGGTATTCTCATCCAGACACAACTGGAATGCAGGTTCGACTTCGTTGCGGGACTCGAACCATAACCATGCAGCACATAATCTCGACTGCCACACGTGCCCTTGGGTCACAGACAAATGTGCATTTCAAAGAAGACCGGATATTTTCACATATCACATTCTTTGTTGGGATTGCCAATAAAGCAAAGTTATATTTGCTATAGCAACCGAAGACATTACTTATTTTCAGTTTGTAAGTGGGCTTTTGGCAGTATCAGTAAGTCAGATATATGAGATATATGTTCACTCCGAAAATCAACATAAAAACGAAAAATAAGTAATGTAGTCGATTTATATAGCAAATATAAATTTGCTTCATTGAAAATCCCACCACAAAGTGTAAAATGGAAGAGTATCTGTCCTGTGACCCAAGGGCACTTGTGGCATACGAGATTATATGCTTCATTGTTATGGTTAGAGTCC